TTTCTATGTGAACCATCTTCTAGAAGATTCAAAACCCTTTATCACTTGTGCAATGCAGGTAGTCTTTGCTTGACGACCACAATAGGGACCGGAAAATTGGTTGTTAAGTGGGGCAGTCATTCAGCAAATCACCATGTGACCAGACCCAATTTTATGATCATTTTTATGATGGTAGTTAAGCAGATCACATGGTCGTTAAGAGAATCCAGCTTTCCCAGTGGACTTTTTTGCTGGAATTTGCTTAACAGCCATGTGATTCACTTAAAGACCATGTGATTCACTTAACAACCATCATAAAAAGGTCACAAATCGCAATCACGTGACCATGGTGGGTGATGCGACAGTTTGTGACAGTTGTAAGTGCAAGTACAGGTCATAAAGCACTTTTTCGGAGGCTGTTGTAACTTTGAACCGTTGTTAAATGAACCATTGTTAAGTGAGGACTACCTGTAGCCAAATTCTGTGTTGCCACAATGAAAATAAGGCATAACTAGTCACAGAAATAACCACTTTTGGTTTATTTATCATTTCTGGTTTAATATACGCTAGCTATCCCGTTTTAGGTGATACACGTTTCATTTCATAGATTGTAATATTTTAGATTTATACTTGCACATGCAATCGACACACCATTATAGTAGTGTATGTTACATTTTTATCTGTTATTTTCTTTGTTATGCTAGTATTTTATGACATCTACTTAATTTTACTTTGGTGTTGTATTTTTTCAAATTTGGCTGGTCATTGACTGAATAAACAGCATTTCTCTTTCTATAATCCTTCTGAAATGATCCTTCTGAAATGTAGTTGCATATTGCATTTGTCTAGTTTTGCAACAATATCACATTGCTGGCTCCTATTTAGCTACTTTGGGAGGAAAAGTAGAATAAATACATCCTATTTATATGACATATTCAGGACCGTGGTTAGCATTAGAAACCCAACAAGCAAGTAAGGAGCTCCTACCTGGAAGGAAATACATTGGAAGATGTCCTTCTCAGCCACCACATCGTCAATCAAGCTTGTGTTCCGGCCCTCATATTCCATGGTGATGCTCAAGGTCACTGTCTCGTTCAAATGGTTCATCTGGACACAAACATTCTCAGAGGTCTCTGTGTGGATCACAGAGGGCACCAGAACCAAGTACTGCCTGGGAGGTAGGAAAGTCAAAGGACTTGTGAAGTGCGTGGTGTGGATGCCCTTTGATGGGGGCAGGTTTCACTACAGAAAGTTACCACCCATGTATCTAAAATAATCACTTTGATGAATTAATTATCAAGTTTGTCAATATGCCAATCTGCCTCCAGTTAAATATCTAAAGGCCTGACTGAAATACTGCATGGGCTCTCCCGTGAGAACATAACATGAGGAATAAAGGAATTGGGCAGGAGAATGACATCTCATGAAATGATGGTCTGTGAAATCAACTTTTGGAAGCAAGCTGGAATCCCTGCTTCTTGGACTGAAATGCAGTTGGACTGGGTCTTTGGTGAAATTTTTGCCATGCAATTGTAAATTGATTTTTGCACGGAAACTGCAAGACTGTGTAACTATGTTGCTTTGTACGCTGGCAGTGCAAAAGAATTTTGAAATGGAAACCAGTGGAGCCAAAACGCTTATTCCTATATGCTTGCCAGCTTCTATCAGCATAAGGAATTAGCAGATAAAATATTGTGGGCGCACATTTATAGTTTAGCTTTGGCTTCTAGGAAAGAAAGCACTTCCAAAAGTATACATTTTGCTAAGGAAAATCAACTAGTCAGTTGATTAACCTAACTAGGCAAATGACTTCATAGGATCCTAAATTCCATAACCAAGTATGCTGGCCTGAATTGGCTGGTCAGCTTGTTAACTAGGTTAGTGAGACCTTGTGACTATATTCACACAACCTGTTAAGTTTAGTTAGGGTTAACCTTGGTTAGGTGTCTTCATGACTTAGCCTGCTGTCAAACCCATCCTGGCTGATTGATGGTCCAACATACTGAGCAAACCCAGAAAACAGCTTGGCTGAGTATAGTAACCAGATAAATATGTTGTATGAACCCAACCACCTTATTAATTCTTCTATGATCTCACTGGGAAGATGTGTGCATGGTGAGTGAGGCAGGGGAGGATATAGTTGCACACAGGATGAGGCCTCATGTTATACCCTAATTGAGGGGAGGGACTCTCCATTTTTCAGGAAAGTCCACTGAATTAGAGAGTGAGCTACTGGGGGTCATACTAAAACTAAATCATCTGCACGATGATGAAATGACACGAATGATGTCATTTTGCACAGATATCATTGCACATATTACATAAATTGACACAAATGGTATCCATGGTAATGGAAACAGGAAGAAATGGAAGTCTTTTGAATCAAGAACCATTAAAATGAGGTATTGCTCTATTATAATTAGTTATCACTTGTGGAATAAAAGAACGGCAATTTATCTGTACTAAGAGGAAGGTGTAAAAGCCAAAATTGATTTTTATCTGGAAATAAAATGGATGGCAGAAACCACAGGCTGTGTGACTAATAAATGAGAAAAAGAAGAAATGGAGCTCCTTCAATATTATACTTTAATTCCTGGCACCCAGAAGTTATCCAGAACAGAGTAGAATAACCAGGAACACCAACATCCAAATGAATAATAGAAGAAAGACCAAATTCATTGGTTGCACATAAGTAGAAGGGATTGATGCTAGGGAGGAAAAAAACTTCCATATAAACCATGTTCCCCTACAATTCTATGAAAAATCCTATTATTTTGATTTAACTGCCTGTACAACCCAGGGAGTCAAACTCCCCAATCACACACAGGTCCAGGTGGTTTTCATGCAAAAAGACCTGAAACTTCTAGAAAAAAACACATTCTGCCCTCCTAGATCTCGGCAAAAGGCCATGAAATCATTTTTTTAAAAAATCATTAACTCTTTGCAAAATGTAGTTAAAAAGGATTTTGTATCTGCATTAGGACAACCAAGCCAGGCTTGGTATGTTGTCACCTTAATTTGTTACTTTGGATCTTCATAGGTTGTGTAAACCCAGCCTAGCTGATTAGGCCATGGTTCAATAAACTCTGCAAATCCAGAAAAGCATTATTGCTGAACCCTAATTAAACCAACTTTGTGCAACTGTTTGTATACTCGATTGGCCATGTCTCAACAAAACGAGACAGGCAAACATTTCCAGAAATAAGGGGTAGTGATGTTCCATAATCTGAATTTTTCTTCTTACATTCTGCTCTGAAATAAATTCCTACCAGGTAAGACAGTTGTGAAGCATTTTGGATTGAAATGCCAAAAGGGGCTTTGGAATGTGCTGTCTGCAACAGCAGAATCCTGCAAAAAGACACAGCTGCTTTAAAGAGTTGCAGACAGGAGATGCATGAGCACCCCATCACCCCAAAGCAGCTTCTTGCCTTTGAACCCAGAGCATTGCATAGCCCAAGCAAACCCATTTTGAATGCTTGCTTCACCCAATGAAACAAAAACTGGTTCCTCTGACTAGCTTTTGATGGCCTATAAAGACCAACTAAATGACTCTTGGGAGACCCATGAGAACCCTAGCTTGCTTCCTCTGGCCCTAGAGTTTGCCTAGAGTTTGTGGATGGATCTCCCATGAATTTCTCTAATCCTGAGCCATACCAAATGAGCTGTTGCCACTGCTAGGGCAGCAGCAAGATGTCATACAATGCCCCCACTGCTGACTGTGTGAATTCCCTACTTGCAAATCTGCAAAGAGGAAAGAGGAAGGAAAAAGTCACAGGAGGAGATTTGGATGGGGGAAGAAGGACGACAAAGGCAGGAAGGTTCCAACAAGCATCTTACGGTTCAATGTGAGTAGCCAAGGAAGTCCTGGAAAGGAGAGTCACCACGAACAGCAGAGAGAGGCTGGGTACTCCCCAGATCCATCCCTTCCCCATGGTGGTTGAAGGGCAGGTGGTGTGCAAAGTAAAGGCTGCTGCCTCATTCTCCCTGTTGCTGCGGTTATTTATACTGTCTCTCTGCAAACAGAGAAGATAAGAGATGGGTTGGAGCGAGGTTGCAACAGCCAATCCTATTTGCTTTAAGCGTGGGGTGCCTTGAGAATTT